TGGATTGTTTTCAAAATTATTCTCCGTCTGAGGTGTTTGTACAGAGTCTGGCGCGGCAAACAGACGAGGGAGACGTGGAAACCATTTTGTGTCATCAGCGAGACCTGTGAGTTCATTTTCCTCTTTTTAACCGAAAATAGCAAATTTTAGTTCCTTGAAAATTGAAACGAAGAATGTCGAAGGAAATTTTCGATCAGATTTCAGTTTTTTTATTGCATTTACACTCGGAGAGACTTGTAAGTCTATTTTGTCAACCCTGAGTTTTGGTAAAATGAAGCACAGTACAGTACTGTACTGTATAATTGAAATACGAGGTATGTTTGATTGAATGCTGTTGTGACAACGAGACGCCTTTTTTCAATAACTTTTGAAAAATGAAGATAAATTGAAGTGTGACCTTTGTCATTCCAGTGCATTCTGTTAGAGGATACTGTATACAGAATTGAATTTTAAAAATTGGCTTGCTTTTTGTCCACCCAATAGTAAACTAAAATTTTGCTTGTGAATCCATGAATGTCATTCATTCTAAAATGTGCAGTACCGTGCGTCGGATTTTCAAGTCTAAAGTAAAGAAAGGACTTGTCTTAATTTCCCGTAAACTCGGCAAATTATCCTTCGTTTTTCAGGAGGCTTTTTTGCTCAATGAAAATGTGACTCGTGCTCAAATGTTCTCAATAGAAATGTTGATGGTTAAAAAAAAGCGAGTCAAGCATAGTTCTGTACATTTTCTTCTACTGTCAATTACAGTAAAAAAAACTCGTTCAAGTGCGAACAGATGTCACTGGCTGTCATAGAAGATCCATGCCTCCTTTTTATGAGAACTCCATCTTGTATTTTAGGGTCTTCTTCTTTCTGAAAAGAAGGTAACTTTTACTAGAAAAATGTTTGCAGACTCTCGAGGTATGAGAAGACAAATGAAATGTTGGTGAACAGCACTTTTTTATGAGAACTCCATCTTGTATTTTAGGGTCTTCTTCTTTCTGAAAAGAAGGTAACTTTTACTAGAAAAATGTTTGCAGACTCTCGAGGTATGAGAAGACAAATGAAATGTTGGTGAACAGCACGACGGTCTCTGCGATGCGAAGCCAGAATGCCGCCGTGGATTTCAAACGACACGTGACGGTGTTGCGCGAAATGAAGAAGGATCTGGACTACGTGTTCCGGAAAGTGAGAGTCTTGAAAAGCCGCATTAAGGACCGGAACCCGGAAGCTTTTGCAGTCGCCGAACGAAGCGTCAACTCTGGTCGACTCCGGTCCGATTCATCGACAGTTGACGAGGCTGACGAAGTTGAAGGAAAGACCTGACGGGTAACGTCACACACATTTCTGATGGTTTTATCACTTAATACTGAACTGCATGTGCAAAGCATTGGGTCCTGGATAACGGAAATAGTCAGTTCCTGCTGAATTCCGTTGTGTGAATCAAAAGTTCCCTTTAGGTCTTTCTTCGCGCGATAAAAAAGAAATGAAACAAAATGAGTATTGCGTTCACAATTTTTGGAGCCTTCTTTTACAATGTTTGATCTGCTTTTGCAAAATTTTCAGCCTCAAAATCTGCCAAAATATATGCAATTTTGTCTGGAAAATTTCATTGCGTGAATAAATTTTTGTCAATAAAAATGTCGGCCTGTAACATTTTCTTGGTAGAGTTTTTTTTTTCAATACGGGTATCAACTGTCTTCTATAGGAATTCCACTTTCTTGTGTGTGTTACAAATAAGTTTGATGTTGGTTTGAGAATGCCATATATTTCAAATGTTTTTATTGAGCTGTGATGTATATCAACTATTCGGTTTAATGGTTGAGCAATTCAAGTCAGATGCTCGTCATCATCTTTACTAAGTTTTTGTTCTGGTTTTATTCTTAGGTAATTGAAATTTTTGTTCTAGGACAGCGTTTTCTGTGTCCGCGTGATTGGTGGACAATTGCTTGTGTTATTTTTTTTTTTGGCAATGTGGAACTTGATTTACGGTCATGTTTTGATGTGATGGATGTTACAGTGTCGGAGCTTTAAAAGAAATTCTTGAAAATAGACGGGATGTTCCATTCGAGAGAAAGAAAATTGTTTTTTTTTTCTTGGGTTGTCGAAGACGCCCGACGTCCATTTTAAATTATGCTTGGAATTCTCGTACTCTACACTACTGTCTGTAAAAAAAAAAAATTATCCGCAAGTTTCAGATCAGCTGTACCAAAATGAGTTTTTCGCGCTCAATGGACTTCGCGAGCTTTTTTCGTCGAGGGTTCAGCACCTCGACAACGACGCGAAGAAAGACCTAAAGGGAACTTTTGATTCACACAACGGAATTCAGCAGGAACTGACTATTTCCGTTATCCAGGACCCAATGCTTTGCACATGCAGTTCAGNTTCGTGTCACGGTCTGGTATTGAAGATTAATCGACTAACTTTATTTGCCTCTTGAAGGGAAAATTGCTGTGCGATAAGCTGGACAAAATCTGTCCTGAATCTGGGCCACACAAGCACTACGTGGGATTCCGATACACTCCTCCATTGACGGAGCATGCGTTGGACGCCATGATCGCGTGAGTTGCTTCTTTTATTCTAAAAATTAATGGCCAAAAAATGGAAAGCATGCATATTTTCGAAAAATTCATTGTTCTATTTCATGAGATCTTTGAGCAAATTGTATCGCTGCGAAGTATTTGAATTTTTTAAAATTATAAACCTCAAGTTTGTAAAATTGTGGATGTTCTTCTCGAACAATGTTTTCAATTTTTATGTAACTTTTTTTTTCTAGGGACGGTATTGAACACGCTGTAGCTTTCAGTCAATACCCTCAATACAGTTGCGCAACTTCAGGGTCCTCCTTCAACGCGATTTATAACTACATGAAAAATAAAACGTGAGTGTCCTCGACATTTTTTCCCCGAATGCTGGTAATTTTTACTTCTCATATGTGTACAGTGACGGTAAGATGAAGTGGAGCTTGATCGACCGATGGGGAACGAACAGATTTCTCGCGAAAACGTTTGCAACGTTGATTCGGGGAGAACTGGAGAAATGTGATGAAGTCACGAGGAAGAATATTGTTTTGCTTTTTACTGCGCACTCTTTGCCCATGAAGGCTGTGGAAAGAGGTGATCCTTATCCTGCTGAGGTGAGTCTTCGTTCAATTTTAAGAGGTGCTGAATGTCAAGATTCCTCTGAAACGTAATTTGTGAACTAAAAGTTGAAGGAGGGGGAACTGCGATTGAAGAAAACTTTTACCCAAAAAACGTATCATCTGGAATTTTTAAAATACTCTTGAGTACCATGCCTCCACATGTATGATGCGCATCCTGATTTTTGAGACAACTTTTTCTGTGTAAAAAAATCAATACTCGCTCAAGATGCGCAACTCGATTTTCTCTGAAATAAAAATCTATTTTATTTTGTGAAATAAATTATGAAATTCGAAATGTAGACTACAGTGGTATAATTCAAACACATTTTTGCTGCATTTTCATCTGCCTGCTTGATTTGAGCCTGAACATGCAGTTGGGCCCCGAGATGCGGACATAATTGGTGTTTGGTCCTCGTGTTCATCTAAACTTAAGCATAAACTTCTCAAGAAATGAAATGCATTTTTTTCTCAACTTCAAAATGCAGAAGTTCGCGAAAGAAAACCACACAAAAATTTGATCTTTTGGTATCAGAAAGAGTTCAAGAAGCAAGCATAAAAAACAATATTTTTAAAAAGAGCACCCAATAAACTCGTTTTTGATGATGAATCCGAGTAATTTGAAAGTTAAACTTTTAATTTGTAAACTAGAAAGCTAAATTGGTTCGAGATATGAACGTTTAGAATAGTAAAAAAACATTCTATTTTTATAGAAATTTTGGAGAATTTTCTTCATCTTGAGATAGTGTCCAAGTGTTCGGCGGTTTTATAGTTGCAAGTCTCGAATCGAATTGTCCGCCTGTCGGGGTCCCGTTGTACATTTTACTTATTCTATTCTCTGAAAAGGTATTTCTTCAACATTTTTTGAATGTGTCTGAAGTATGATGCTCCCTAACATAAAAAAAAATTCGCGTTAAAATGTACGTTTGAATATGACGCGCACCCCGCTTTTTGAGCCTAATCTTGAAGGGTACTTCATTGTGCATGGTATTCGATATGCTGAATATCTCATTCGATAACTGATCAAAGTTGTGATGCAGTTCAGACCAATGAATTCATCTCCGATCGTCAATTTTTTTCGCGCATAGGTTGGAGCCACGGTTCAGCTTGTTATGGAAGAGCTCAAATTCGCATACCCGTATCGGTTGGTGTGGCAGTCAAAGGTTGGCCCCTTGCCTTGGCTCTCGCCAGCAACAGATGCAGCTATTGAAAG